ACTAACCCCCCCCCCCCCAAATAAAAAAAATGAAAGCTCTTGCTGCCCGTCTCCCCTTTAATTTGGAGCTGCGCCCCTCTTCCCCCGCAGTAATCCCTTTCTACCACTTGATGTCCTCAGTCTGTCAGGTTGAATGATGTACATATGGCTGATGACATACCTGTTAGATCAGATAGATCAGGGGAAGGTGCAAGACTGTGCCAATCAGGGCTCAGTACAAATATAGAGCCATGATTGGGCAAAGTCACGATGACTCTGCCCAATCATGTCTCACAGCTAAGTCCCTGCAGCACACTATATAAGGCTGCTGACACCGCGGCCCCATGTAGTGTGTTGTAGGAGATAGAGAGAGAGAGAGAGAGAGAGGGTTCTAGACTTCTGTGTATATTCGAGTTCTATATAAATATCAATAAAATGTATATAAATGTCATTTTTGCTTCAGCAGGTCCTATACATCATACAGATGTGCCACTTTACGGTCAGTGAAAGGGGACCCCCCAGGCACCATATTTAAAGGCATTTTTCATTTTTAATGTTTCATTTTAAGTGATGTTAAATCACTGCTCCTTTAAAAATTGTATTTTTGAAAAGTGTTTTTTTCATTGATAAATGTCCCCCAGGGCAGTACCCGGATCCCCATACACTTTTTATGGCCAATAAACTGCATATAAGGCTTCAAAATGGGGACATTTAATTTTCTGAGTTCTACCCCCATAGACTTGCATTGAGTTCTAAGTTCGAATTAGAACCGAACATGGGTGTGTTCGGCTCATCCCTAGTAAGAACCAATCACTGCACGTCATGGTGGAGGAACTTCCATTGAAGCTCATTGTGATGTCAGAGCTTGGTGACTACCCGAGTTGTAATTGGCCCTCGTGGGGTCACTGGTGATATATACCTGTAAGAATCTTGTATTTGCTATATGACCCCGTGTGACCGGAGCAATGTTTTGAGCGCAGGGCGTCATCCTCTTAACATGGCAGAGAAGACATGTCAGTATCCGGAAGCCAGTCCAGAACATTGATTTGCAGCTAGCATTGCAGTGACCCCGTGTAGACAGGAAGTGGTACCTAATGGCTGGAGGAGATCAGCAGCACTGAGATAGAAAAAGGATGAAACCTCGTATTGTGAAGGCAGTTGTTTATTATACGCAGTGCTCGCGCTGAATGTCATCCATGTAGAGCAAGGGTAGCCAAACTCCGGCCCTCCAGCTGTGGTGAAATCCCATGAGGCATTGCAAGATTCTCACAGCCACCACTCCCGGAGAGAGATGCATCATGGGATTTGTAGTTTCACCACAGCTGGTGGGCCGGAGTTTGGCTACCCCTGATATAGACCAATGGTAGGCAACCTCAGCACTCCAGCTAGAAGCTACAAGTCCCATCAGGCCTATAGGAGTCATGCCTGTGGCTGTCAGTCTTGCAATGCCTCATGGGAGTTGTAGTACCAGAACAGCTGGAGTGCGAAGGTAGCCTACCCCTGATGTGGGGTTTAGATCAGTTTTAATGGGTCTCTATGCGTTGCCCTGTGTACGGGGGATGTTTTAATAAAGTTTTTGTTTTCTTTCAGTTGCACAGAATGGCGTTCGCTGACTTGAGAAAGGAGCTGAGTTGTTCCATCTGCCTGAGCTTGTATACAGAGCCGGTGTCCCTGAGGTGCGGGCACAGCTTCTGCCGGGACTGTATAATGAGCGTGCTGGATACGCAGAAGGGGTCCGGTGTCTACACGTGTCCGGAGTGCCGAGCAAAGTACCCGGTGCGCCCCCTGCTGGAGAAGAACCGCAAGCTGTGCAACATTGCAAAGCACTTCCTTGACACTCAGTCCCAGCTAGAGAGCTCCGGGGTCTCCTGCACGTATTGCCTTCACGCTCCCGTCCCCGCCGCTAAGACGTGCCTCCAGTGTGAGACCTCCCTATGCGACACCCACCTGGGTATCCACAACAAGACCGTGGAACACACCCTGATCGACCCCACCAGCTCCCTGGACAGCTGGAAGTGTCTGATCCACAAAAAGAACCTGGAATTCCTGTGCTGCGACGACGGCGCCTACATCTGCGTCTACTGCTCGGCCATCGGCTCGCACAAGGGCCACACGCTGAAGTCGCTGGATGAGGTGGTGAGGGTGAAGGAGAAGCTGAGGAAACTTCTGGAGAAGCTGTCCTCCAAAAAGGAGGAGAGCGAGAAGAACCTGGAGAACTTGCAAGACCTTCGCAGGAAGGTGCAGGAGAAGACCACCGTCCTAACGGAGCGCATCGCCGAGCTGTTCACGGACATCAGGAAGCAGCTGGACTGCCTGGAGAAGAGGTTCATGACTCAGATCTCCAGGCACGAAAAGCAGAGCTTGCTCTCCGTCTCTGATCTGATCCGGCAGCTGGAGACCCAGAAGGACGAGCTGTGCCGGAAGATGCACCACGTCGAGGAGCTGTTTAACATGACGGATCCCATAACCGTCCTACAAGACCAGGATCTGGACACGGAGGACACCGCCAAGCTGGACAAAGATTCCGAACCGATCGTGCAGGATATTCGGAAGATCCGCTCCTCCAGCGAGCTGAAGGAGCGCCTGGTGTCGGCTTCTTTGCACGCCTGCGTCTCGGACATCATGTCCACCGTGAAAAGAGGTTTTTACGACCCCAAGACCTCCGACATCTTACTTGACTTAGAAACGGCTTGCCGAAAGGTGTCGGTGTCCGGAGATCTGAAGTCGGCCTCCTGGTCGGAGACGCCATTGAACTACCCTGAGAGCGCCAAGCGATTTACGACGTTCCCTCAAGTTTTGAGCACCAAAGGTTTCAGCACGGGCAAACACTACTGGGAGGTGGAAACGAGCCAGTCCGAGGATTGGTGGGTGGGCGTGGCTTACCCCAGCATTTACCGAGGCGGCAAGGAGTCCAGGATCGGTGAGAACAACAAGTCCTGGAGCCTGAGGACCTACGACAACCACTACTCTGTGACTCATAATTCCAGGTCACGTCAACTGCAGACCAAGATCCCCATCCAGAGATTGGGATTATATCTGGATTACGAAGCGGGCCACCTGTCCTTCTACCAGCTGTGTGACGTCGTCCGGCACCTCCACACCTTCAAAGCCACCTTCAGCGAGCCCCTCCATGCTGCTTTCTTTGTGTGGAACGAGGGTTGGGTGAGGCTGAGGAGCTAACGTGGAAGTAAACCGGAATTTCTGAAGGACTGCCCACTGAAACCTTAACTCCGCCCTGCAGGAGAATTTTTGTGATAAATGCAGTATACAAACGTTGCCGTTTTCACCGAGAGGTTTTTTTTCCACCTTTTATTGTCCTTTTTTCTATCTCCCACAGATTTTCCTGCTTGCCCCTCCCCCCCCTTTTGTCGAGTTGGGATTTCCTCTTCGTGTTTTTTGATGAAACAGCAAAAAAGCTTTTTTTCCAATGTGTGGGGGTTTTTCTGTGAAGTATCTCGCCACGCTTTATCTCCCTCACCTTCCTTTCCCTAGTGCGGCATGGATTGTCGATGGGCTATCACGGTGTGCGCACACTTTACCGAAGCAATACTCCGGGGGGACTGAGATGTGAACGGCAGCGTGGCCTGTGGTGGCCATGTGATCAAAGCCAAAGACCTTATATCTTACATGAGACTTTGGAAAGCGTGGGGAGGGATGACGGGAAAATGAGGTGTTTTCCTGTAAAGGACTCGTGCGGAACGTAAAGGTGTTTTATGAAGTTGGGTACGATAGTTACACACGACCTGAGGGTGGTCAGTTCACTCCAACCTAACACGTGTTTCTCACTACTGCTAATTCTAACAATCAATCTTTACTTATGGCTACATGACTGTGAAGGTTCTCATTCATCCGGGTCATGGTATGTCTGTAAAAAATAAATCAGGGCAACTGGACTTGCTGTATTTTTCTTGAAGACGTTTCGCTGGTCATCCGATTTGCTTGGTCACCAGACTAGCTTGGCCACCCGACTTGCTTGGCCACCCGACTAGCTTGGCCACCCGACTTGCTTGGCCACCCGACTAGCTTGGCCACCCGACTAGCTTGGCCACCCGACTTGCTTGGCCACCCGACTTGCTTGGCCACCCGACTAGCTTGGCAACCCGACTAGCTTGGCAACCCGACTTGCTTGGTAACCCGACTAGCTTGGTAACCCGACTAGCTTGGTAACCCGACTAGCTCGGTAACCCGACTAGCTCGGTAACCCGACTTGCTTGGTCACCCGACTTGCTTGGTCACCCGACTAGCTTGGTAACCTGACATGCTTGGTCACCCATAATAGAAGTCACCAGCACTCGATGATATGTGCAAGAAGTAAAGCACTTTTTTATTGGATCGTCACATGCGCCAAACAGCCAACGTTTCGGGCCCACGCAGGGTCCCTTCTTCTCGGCGACATAGTGACGTCACTATGTCGCCGAGAACAAGGGACCCTGCGTGGCCCCGAAACATAACATATCTTCGAGTGCTGGTGACTTCTATTATGGACTGTATCTGACACGGCGCCATCCGTGTTGTCACTTCAAGCACCAACCTCTCATCCAAGGTCTGTACGCTGTATGGAGTGCCGGGGATTTCGTATCATCGATAGCTTGGTCACCCGACTTGCTTGGTCACCCGACTTGCTTGGTCACCCGAATTGCTGGGTTATCCGACTTGTTTTGTCTCAATTTCTGCAATGAGAAAGCTGGTCGGACGACCATTGAAACGTCTCCAAGAAAAATACAGCAAGTCCAGTTGCCCTGGTTTATTTTTTACGGATATTCTTCTTTGCAGTTGTGTGAAGGTTTTACTGTACATAGTAGGAGAAGGTTTGCAATATTTAGATTGTAAAACTCAGAAAAGAACATCATTGGATATTCCTCCTTAAAGTGGCGCTGATGTCACCAAAAGGTGAAGCAGCCCCCTACAATAGAGGAGACACTATACTCGCTGCTCTGGTGGCTCAGCATTGCGCCCTTTTCAATGCAGGACTACAAGTGTCAGAGGAGTCATCGGATGAAGACGGGGCACACGGCAGGGGGGGACACAGGGATCCATCACTCCCGGAAGTGTGACAGTCCCGCTTTAAAGTCTAATTCCAGCCCTTGTACAGAGAAGGACGGGATTTACCTTTGCAGCTATTCACTGCGAAAACAATACGGATCTCACACTTTTCACACATTATTTGTGGAATTACCTTTAAAAAAAATGTAATCATGATGCAAAAATATCGTCGACCCGCGCCATTCCTCTTGACTGCAAATATATTTGTTTTGCTTGAGGACAGCTAATAAAAAAAAAAAGCAATTATTTTAGGCAATAAGCAAAGCAGGAAGGAGGGATTAAGGAAGATAAAGTGGTTTGTTACACAACCGCTATCTGGAAATTGCAGGAAAGCTGTGACCTAGGAGAGAACAAAGTATACACCATCCATATAATAGTGCCTGACCACCCTTTCCCCCGCCGTGTATCCTGGGCACCCGGGACATCCATGGCAGGTGTCAGTGGGAGAGGACGGTCTGTGAACATTCGCTAATCGTCCCTGCGGTGAGTGAGGCCAGAAGCGACAAGCTTTTCACCACTTCCAGTTTCAGAGCTGTCATTCCCTGCTCGCTATGGCCAGGAAAGAAGCTACTCAAGCACGATCTGTGCTTGAGTAGCTTCATTGGAGTGCACAGGTGACATTAGGGGTTTAGTAGACAGTTCTGTTAATATCATGTAGCATACAAAATTGCAACTATCACCATTTTATTATATTCTCCATAATTATTATTCCTGGTGTGTGTATATAGACTATATAGCCGAAAGTATTGGGACGCCCCTCTAAATCATTGGATTCAGGTGTTTTCATGACATTTCCTTGCTACTAAATATTCCGCGGTCGCCTGTTACTGGTATTATAACAAAGTGGAAGCAACTGGGAACAACAGCAACTCAGCCAGGAAGTGGTAGGCCACGTCACATGACAGAGCGGGGTCAGCGCATGCTGAAGCGCACAGTGCGCAGAAGTCGCCAACTGTCTGCAGAGTCAATAGCTACAGACCTCCAAACTCCATGCGGCCTTCAGATTGGCACAACAACAGTGCGTAGAGAGCTTCATGGAATGGGTCTCCATGGCCGAGCAGCTGCATCCAAGCCTTACATCACCGAGTGCAATGCAAAGCGTGGGATGCCGTGGTGTAAAGCACGCCGCCACTGGACTCTAGAGGAGTGGAGACGTGTTCTCTGGAGTGACCAATCACGATTCTCTGCCTGGCAATCTGATGGGTGTGTCTGGGTTTGGCGGTTGCCAGGAGAACGGTACTTCATTGTGCCAAGTGTAAATTTTGGGGGGGGTGGTTGTGTTTCAGGGGTTGGGCTTGGCCCCTTAGTTCCAGTGAAGGGAACTCTTAAGGCATCAGCACACCAAGACATTTTGGACAATTTCATGCTCCCAACTTTGTGGGAACAGTTTGGGGATGACCCCTTCCTGTTCCAACATGACTGCGCACCAGTGCACAAAGCAAGGTCCATGAGACATGGATGGGGGAGTTTGGGGTGGAGGAACGTGACTGGCCGCACAGAGTCCTGACCTCAACCCCATAGAACACCTTTGGGATGAATTAGAGCGGAGACTGCGAGCCCGGCCTTCTCCTCCTCAACATCAGTACCTGACCTCACAAATGGTCCAACATTCCCCTAGACACACTCCTAAACCTTGTGGACGCCTTCCCAGAAGTGATGAAGCTGTTATAGCGGCAAAGGGCGGAGCCAACCCAATACTGAACCCTGCAGACTAAGACTGGGATGCCATTAAAGTTCATGTGCGTGTAAAGGCGTCCCAATACTTTTGGCAATATAGTGTACATACAGTAAGGAAAATAATGACTTGATCCCCTGCAGATTTGGTAAGTTTGCCCACTTACAAAGAAACGAAAGGTCTATCATAGGTGTATTTTAAATGATAGAGAGGGGGTAGGTAGTCACCAGGCCTAAAATGTCCTTTTTTTATCTATGCAAAAAATGAAGAAGAAAAAGGAAAGACTTAATAAATTCTTGGACAGTTGTATGGATCCATGGAGTACTGAGGACCTATACGTCTATGTTTACCCCAGTTTACCAGGTGCAGCACCCCCATGCTCCCGGCTTTACCCTGGAAGGAGTGTGATGAGAATATATTTGTGACATGACAGAAGAAGCAATACGGAGCTTACGACTTAACGCTCCGGGACTGTCAGAATGGACAGCGAGAGGAATGGTAGGTTGTCTTTAATATGACTCGTACATCTTAGTGAACTGACCCTCTGGAATCCATTACAACCTCATCAATGGTTCCTTGACTCTCATGACCGAGCGTTCATGTTTGTGTGATTGCCGGCAAGTTGAATCACATCTTGGCTTCCTCACCGGAACTCCGACCCCGTCGAGGACATTAAGAAGCCGAATGATGGTTTTGTTGTAATGGACTCCTCAACCTTCCATCTGAAGAACACAACGTTGGGAAGGTGACACCCCGGTAAGAGTGGAGACACCAGAGTCACTCTCGCCATCGGGTGGTTGGACCCATTGGGCGTCCACCAAAACCGCGGTTCAACCTTTTAAAAAAAAAAGTTTTTGAAACTTTGTAAATCCAGTTGCAGCTGATTTTTATGTAAGAAATGAAACCTTCAGTCGTAAATGATTACAATGTTGCAAGTTCACTTATGTAGATGTACCCCTTCAATGGTGTTACTAATAATGGTTCTAAGAGGTGGTAGGCCCCTGAGGTCTGATAATCCCTCCCATATCCAGGTGCCTGAACTCATGCTGATAACACACGCTGTCTTCCAGCTCCTAAGTCACCATAACCATACCCCACACAGAGCCCTGTAGATGTTTACATTCCTCCTAGCTACAAGGCTTTGTTGTTACATTGTTATGGGCACTTGATGGAACAGCAACCTCAGGTGACTTCTGACACCCAGCCTATGACATTGACCAAAGTTGGCCACCCAGTCTATGACATTGACCTCATATGGCCACCCAGTCTATGGCATTGACCTAATATATTCACCAAACCTATGACATTGACCTCATATGGCCACCCAGTCTATGACATTGACCTCCTATGGCCACCCAGTCTATGACATTGACCTCATATGGCCACCCAGTCTATGACATTGACCTAACATGATCACCCAGTCTATGACATTGACCTAATATGGCCACCCAGTCTATGGCATTGACCTAATATGGCCACCCAGTCCATGGCATTGACC